AGAAGCATCGTCCTAAGAAGGAGGATTTGGACCCTCGAAAGTGGATGAGAAAGGAGACTGTGAGGGGATTTGCTGACTTCATACTGAACAAGAACTCTGACAAAGATACAGACAACAGTTTTGACAACAAAGAGATGTGTGAGTATGCAAGGACAAGAAAATAAGAAAATGTGGTAGATAAATGAATAGACTTTGGCTTTACAGAGCATAAACATAATAGAACAGTATGGAGCAAAACTTTAAAGCAAGTTTCTGTTGAGTTTATACTGTTAGAGCTGGAGTTAATTATTAGCTATTGGTTGAGGTGTACTGACTGCATGCCCATAGAAAGACATTTCTTAATGTTTATCTTGATGTTTCTTTCCAAGAAGCACGTTATATTTGCACAAGGCTGAAACCTGAAACCCTTATCTCAGTTTACCTTACAGTATACTCCTGTTGAGGGTTTGACTCAGACACCATTATAAATGTATATCACATCAAATGATTGTGTATTAAGCCTACATACATGCTATTATGTATATCAAATATTATATGTAAATAGCCATGTGTAACACTTCCTGTCTGCCGTGTTGTTCAGTGCTTGAGGCAGAGAAACAGTTTATAGAAGCAGCTAAGAAAAATGATGTGGAGACCATGAAGACCCTGGGAAAAGGCCTGAACGCCAATGCAAAGAATGTGGTGGGTCTAGATAGAGAAATCCTCTATCTTCATCTCGTAGTGTGAACTGTGTACTGCATTGTATAATACCACACAAACAGACTTTATGGCAGGTAATTTGTTGGATTAACCTATTAAATAAATAATATACTGATCAAGTTGTTTGCCTCAGCATCACAGGACTGCCCTTCACTATGCAGTGGCAGGCAAAAACACAGAAGCTGTACAGTTTCTTCTACAGCGCAGGGTCAAAGTGGACCAAAAGGACAAGGTGAGAGGGATTGAAATGCCCACATCTGGAAACTTAAGCCACAGACAGAAACTTATGTAATATTTTTAAGTAATCACAACTTTCCATTTTGTGTTCTGTATCTGACAGCACGGCGTGGCACCCATTCATTTAGCTGCCTGGTTTGGCAGTTTGGAGATCCTGAAATTATTAGTACGGGCTGGGGCTGAGCAGAAGATTGAGAACGAGGTAAAGAAGCGGGAAGAGTTTTGTTCTGCTGTTACTCAGTAAGTGACAGAGAAAAACACTCAGAAATTGGGCCATTTGTCTTTTTATTTTGTGCAACCTTTCCAAAAAAACATCAACAACACATGCCTTCTCCTGAGACATGATTCATTTTCATCATCCTGGATTTCGAACCCAACATTTGTGTGCTTGTCTCGTTACAAAGACGCTTTTGGTCTTCTTCCTTTGTTTTCTTAATTCAACCATTCAACAAGTTAAATTTCTCTAACAATAGCAGATACTTAATCTTCACACTGCTTGATTAAACAAAATGTTTTTTTTAAATCATAACTTGTTTTTTTCCATTTCAGGAAGGACTGAACATCATGCACTGTGCTGCAATTAACAACAACACTGATATTGTACAGTATATTGTCGATGACCTGCAGATGAAAGAACTAGACAAAGATGACCAGGTATCTACTTGACGCTATTTTTTTTCCTAAATCAACTGTATAATTCACTCTCTGTACTACCAAAGTACATGCAATAAAAGTGATTGTTTGTACCTCGATGCTTCTATTTCAGTCAGGACACCGGCCATTTGCATTGGCGGCAGAGCATGGGTGTGTTGAAATGTTAGATATGCTGATTGGCCCGTACAATATGGCCACAATGAAGCCCAACAAGGTATGTGTGGACTTGTTTTTGGTTTGTGTGCATGTATTTACAATAAATTGATATTTTTGCTCACATGCCCGAGTGCACATTTGTGTGTCACACCTGCAAGAAAGCTCAAAGTCAAACGCTCTTTGATGTGAGCTGTTTCCCTCCTTCCCTTCTGCCAGAGAGGGGACACGCCCCTGCACTTAGCTGCCAGGAACAACCACTTGGACGCCCTCCAACTGCTGCTGCAGAGCTTTGATATTCGGGATGCAGTCAATATGGTAGACAATCACTGTAAACATCCTCTCTATCACGGTTTGGTTTGTGACAGTGTGTGCTCACTGGCTAATCCACTGCTGGATAGTGGCTCCACTTTGGATTAATTAAGATGTATCAAACATGTATTGGTTACTATTATATAACAACGCTAATTGTGTTCTGGCCTGAATTATCAGCTCTGATACATTATACTTGATAATATTGACTCGTTATATCTGGTCTAAGATTCTTCAAACCGGAACTGAAGCCTAATGATAATTGAAATTACGATGACAGTCATTACTTGTTACTGAATGACAAAAATAAATAAAATAAAGACTAACCAGAAATATATACCTGTTGAAGTTCCTTTAGGAAGGTTGTTTGATTTCTGATTCCAGTTGGTTATTTAACATTGTTACCTGAGAAGAATTTTCTGCTTCTGTTATGGCTATCTAGCACCACTACTATCTATTTTTTTGAGAGTCTTCTACGGAGTCTTCTGTGTTGCAGGATGGTGAGACAGCTCTATACCAGGCTGCAGACAATGGTCAGGAAGGATGTGTCCTGGCCCTGCTGGAGGCTGGCTGTGACCCCAACATCCTCACAAACGTACAACCATATAATAACTATAACACTGGAATCACTGACCTGATGCCCTGTTGTTATGTGTTACTGTAAAATATTTTTGTTATTAATCCTTCATGCATCAAAGTTGATGTGGTAAATGTTTTTTTGTACTGCCAGTAGGCGTAACAGCTAAACCTCCCTCTTTTCTCTTTTATAGTCCAAATGCAGTGCACTCCATTCAGTTTCAGAAAAAGGAGACACGTCTCTTGTCCAACTCCTCTTAGAGTACAAAGCCAATCCAGACTTCAAAAATCAGGTATGCAAACACAAGCTAGGTGGCAGCAGTACACTCTTTCAGTAGTTTTTGGGGTAACACACACACACACACACACACACACACACACACACACACACACACACACACACACACACACACACACACACACACACACACACACACACACACACACACACACACACACACACACACACACACACACACACACACACACACACACACACACACACACACACACACACACACACACACACACACACACACACAAAATCTGTGCTGCTGACGCTCTGTCTGGATGCATATCATTGTCATTTTACATATATTCCCTAAAAGCAAACAGTTCATTTCTTGGGCTCATGTTGTCTAACAGGATATTTTTGCTCTCAGGACGTAGACGCTCCTCTCCACCTGGCAGTGAGGAACAGTCACATCGCTGTCATCCATTCTCTATTAAAGGCTGGTTGCGACATTAATGTCACTGATAAGGTATGATCCCTCTAGTAACAATAAATTAAGATGTTAGCCAAAGTATATATAAGACACAAATAGAGAATATGTTTGCTGCGTTGTATTGACCTATGACATGAACTGTTAGAGGTCCCAGACTGCCATGCATCTTGCTGCAGAGCTGGCCAGAACAGAAGTTGTGGAAATGGTTCTTAAATCGGGGCTGGATCTGACACTCCGGGACAGGGTAAGAATTCAAACAAATACAGATTCTAAAGCTAGCGTAGTGTAGTTGCAATATAAGCTAAATGATGCTCTTGGCAAAATTCAGATTCTCAGGCCATTAAAAGGGCAAAAAGCTATATTCATACATGATACATTGAAACTTTAAGAAAAATCTAATTCTACATTTGATGCCTTACAGTTCTTATTAAAGTTTGTGTATTTTGTACATGTTGGATTCGTAGCAAGATAAAACGGCTCTGGGTGTGGCAGCCAGAGCGGACGAGGTGATTATTGTGGACATGATCATCAAAGCAGAAAGATACTACGCCTGGAGGACGGTGAGAGATAGCGAAATGATACTTGAAACTTTTACTGTTTTCACGTGTGCCCTAATCCACTCTTGAGGCTTTGAAATCAATAATTACATTCATCACAAATGATTCATTTCCTAACGTCACAATCTAGATTAGTTGAATCCCCTCTAATACTATTAAAGCATCCATGGTAAAATATGACTCACAACCCAGAAACATTTGACAGCTAATCAATCAAATCAAATTATCAATTTAATTAAGGGTATGCCTGATTCCCTTCCCTTTTTGATTTTGTAACTCTGACATTCATATCATTGCTAATCATGAGTGTAAGTGTGTTTCCAATAATCTCTTTCCATGTCACTGTGCTATCTCAAGGTTTTGGCCTTTATCAATCTGCTGACGTGATTTAATTGCCCTTTCAGGACAACCCTGAGCTTAATGAGAGTGTTCACAGCGAGTTTCCACTAACGTTTAAACTCGACCACCGCTATGAGACCAAGCAGCTCCGTTCGATGGCCTGGCGTCTGGCGTACGAGCTCCTGAAGCCAGGAGAGTGGAAAAGACTGGCAGAACACTGGGGCTTCACCAAGGAGCAAGTGTCAGCCATCGAAGAGCAGTGGACAGGTGCCACCATTCACACTGGATGGACAGACTTTTAACTGTGCATTTGGAAACCCGAAATTATTATAACATATTGTTTTTGTGTTAAAGATTCAAATCCCTCAATTAATGAGGAAAATGTGGACATGAAAATGAATATTCTTGGATAGCTTTATTATTTAAACAGACTGGCTATTTTTCTATTATCTTTTAATGCACATAGGCAATCATTAGGTTATTTTTACTAGTTGAATTGTTTCCCTAACAGCACAGTGCTATGTGTGTTTGTCCACAGGTCAGCACAGCTATAAAGAGCATGGGAACAGGATGCTGCTGATCTGGCTCTACGGGGAAGAGTTGGCTCAGAAAAGCCCTACTAAAGAACTCTTTGAGGGCCTTATCCTCACAGGGAACAGGAAAGCTGCAGGTACATTTGGTTAACAATTTTTTCAAACAAATATACTGAGACTACATGTTTAAACCATGTAGCTGTGCCCACAGGGGATATGTGCCAAACTTTTATTATAGAAAATGTTCATTTGTCTTACAGATCAGATTCGGCAGGGAGTAGAGAGTGCCAGCAGTAAGAGCTGCTGCATTTTATGAGAATGAACACTGCAATGTATGGACTGACAAAATGAACTTCATGTTTACATCATTTTAAAATACTAATCTGTACAGGATGTTAGCCATAAAATAATTTATTTTAAAAATAATATAGTGCGTTAAATCACTTACATATGGCTTTGGTTTAGTAAACTTAGTAAACTTGCGGTGTTGGACGGTCAGTCTCAATTAAAAACATCAATAACACAGATATTTAAATTATGTGATTGTACACATTACAGTAAAGTTTCACCTGTGCATAATTTAAAGTAAAAAATAAATGTCCATTTTGCAATTCTAAACTCTGTCCAGCTGGTAATGATTAAAAACATCTACATTTGCTGCTCTAAACACCTATGTCTTTGTAGTACTTTCCTGAGAAAAATGCTATTGCTCGGGAAATTGTGCCTTTCACATTCATGAAAGGCAGTTGAAAAATGTTAATCAAATGTTTGCTTAAAATGCTCAAATTCATTTCAAGATATCCAAATAAAATGTACTTGAAACTAATGCCAAGGTAACTATTTCTAGGATTGTTGCATAGGATGTGTGAACTTTTAAAGACTAGACTAGATGAGATATGTCTGAGTGGTCAGTCAACTACTTTGATGGAGTGCACATGGCATGTGCTGGACTGTGTTCTGGAGGAGCTTCTGCCTCCGGCTGAGCTCTGTCCCTGTTGGGCGGGGCGAGGAAACTTAGCAGCTGTGGCCTGACCAACAGTGACCTGAATTAATGAAACAAAAGATAATGGTTCACGTGACTAAAATAAATATGTACACATAATAACACATAAATAGTAACACCTCAGAGTAACAGTACTGGTGCACACTATCCCATACCTGAGTAACAGGGTGATGGCGTTCAATTATCACAGAGCTCATGGGCGGAGCCACACCCATCACCTGGAGGTTGCTGCGTGCAGCCTTACTAACATCAGTACGTGCAGTGATGCGAGCCGTTACAGTCTTTGAGGGTTTTTGTTGACTTGCTGTGATGACACGGCCACTGACCTGAAACACAAAATACAGCATCATGTGATTACTGTTCTAGAGACTTTATTTCAAATGTTGTGGTGTTGGTCAACAATTTGATGATATAATCTTAATGCTAACCTGTTTTTGGGAACTTGCAGTGCCCCCAAGTGGGAGTGAGCTTTGCACCACTGTAGTAGGAGGGAGAACCTCTCCCCTGGACATGGGGGCACCAGAGCCCCCCTGAGCACAAAGGAATCAGGAACAGAAGTAGGATTTAGAGAAAGTGCAGCAAATAAAAACAGACAGAAGGAATAACAAAAGCAAATTTAACACTACTACAAATAATTGTTTTAGTTGAGTGTGAGGCCAGAATCTGTGGTGGTATAAGGTAAGAACATAAAAATTCTAAATTGAAGAAAAAGAACATTGTGCAAATACAAAAATATATTCAAAGTTCTGATTTAGACACTTTCTCTGTGAAAGAAATATTTTCATTAGAATTGGTGAGTGTCTCACCATATCCTCTACTTCGCTGTGGGAAGGCTCCGGACGGTCAAAGTGGACTGGGCTGAACCGTGTGGAAGAGATGGGATATGGCTGAAGTTGAGCAAACGTAGTAGAGCCAGGCTCATCCTGAGGAGGCAGAATATCTTCAAAAAGAAAAAAAAAAAATTGAATCAGACTCAGAATGTTCTGAATCAACTGATCAGGTAATCTTGATGACTTGTGTCCTGCCTACCATGTGATATTTCCTTTTGGTTGAACAATCTTTACTTTTTAGCTCTCAATACTAATGATTAACATTGGCAATGTTATATATAATTAAATTTTAGTTGGCATACCTTCATCCTCTCTTTTTGTTGTTAACATATGTTAATAGTACAATCTCTAAACAGAGTATGTAGCAGAAAAGCCAGTGCCAACTACACACCCCTGCTTTGGCAAATTAAAAAGGTGGCTGATTAAGTGTACCTCCTATCAAGTATGTGTGCTTAAAAAGGCTCAATATAACTTCATTTTTTTAAAAATTTATTTGTTACTTTGGTTGGCAAAAATGTGATCGAAGAGAAAATCAACTCAAAGTTCAAAGCAACAGAAAAGAGTAACCAATTAACAGCCCAGTTTGACAGTAAAATAATGTAATGCATTTCTCTTTAAACTCATTAAACCTGAAAGCAGATGGATGAGCAGAAGATTGTGCTGGAGTTCACTTGTACAAGCTAAAAACAGTGAATTCCAGCTTTAGCAGCCATGTGCTCAAAGAAACTAACAGACTAAGAACAGCAGAATAGAAATGTTGCCTCATCTGACAAATCCTGATCTTTGGTGCAAAACGCTGATGACAGGATGCAGGGTGTGAGTTTGGTGTTATCAGCAATGAAACCATAAATCTATCCTGTCTAGCATCAATGGGACTGTGTGATGATAATGGTGTAATGCTATGACTTTTTAGGTACTGTAATTTAAATGCTCTGTGAACCTAAGCACTGTTGATCTACTGCACCTCTTGTTGACTACGGTACCACTGTCTGGTCCCAGATTTATGAAAATGATGTTTGTCGACTCCAGTGGTTCTCAACCTGGGGGCTGGGGACCATTGAGGGGCTTTCAAATATTGAGAATATTCTAATTTCACTATTCATTATTTCATCATGTGTATCAATTTGGGACTTCTTCACACCAAAAAAAGATACACAAATATCCTGTGTTGTCCAAAGCCCTCACCCCAACCTTCACAATGTTGACATACTACTAAATAACAGGGATTACATGATTTAATACATTTTTGCAAAGGGCTATTGAACTTTCTCAGCCAATCTTTCACTGCCAAATCAAGGTTACAACCTGTGCAAAGTATCCCTCAACCAGCACTCAGCACATCCACTGACTCATCACTCCATTAGATGAGTCAGTGAATGACTTCAAGAAAAGAACAAAGACCCCCGTCATCCACTCCACTCATTCATAAATCTTCACAATTGTCAATAGCACACGGCTTCACTCTATTGGAGAAATGGTGTTTCTGGTGCTGAATCAATACAGCACAGACGCAAGGCTAACAATGCCTTTATGGTTTGCTGTATAGAGCAGGGGACTATTTATGTAATTATGGGGCTTGTGATGAGTGTTGAACTGTGCAAGTTTTAATGTGCTAGTTGTTTAAAAAGACAGAAATTCTCTAAAAATAGGTTTGTGTGGTCATTCTGTTACAGACCATGTTGTTCATGACCGGGAGGTTGCTCTGGCTGTCCCTCTGCGCTGTGGAACATGCTGAGAGCCTCCATGTTGAGAGCACACACGCCCCTCATGAAGGCTTTCTTCATAGACTCCTCATAGCGCTCTCGCTCTAGTCGTAGTCTCTGAATCTCTGCCTGGGCCTTCTGTATAGCCTCACAGTGCTGTGGAGACAGGTAGCAGAGTACAGAAAGAGCCAGTCATTTATCAGTGTATATGTAACTGACAAGAACATCTGATGTGGTGTCTTTCTTTCAATTTTAGGCCTTAGTGTTGTACCGTTGATATACATCTGTAACACCATCAATAACATTGTTTCCCTAGTGAAATGTTCAAATTGTATGTATTTATAACAATTCACTGAAGAGATGATATAACACATCTATGAGGAAGAGTCAAGAATGAATGTAGCGATGCAGCATCACCATACACACACTGTTTCACATGCAAGTCCTCTGGCTGCTTATTTACCTCTGCCAGCTTGGCTTCATACTCTGTAGACAGGTTGGTGCAGACCTCTTCAGCCCTTGCACGGCAAGCCCGTTCTACCTTGACCTTCCAGTGTTTCTGGACCAGCGAGTGCCAGGCTAACCACACCTTCTTCTTCAGCTGCATATTGTAGTGCTGTCGAGCCACTTGAGCAGCATGAACCTGGCAGGGAACCACAAGACCATGAAAATATTCACAAGGAAATAATTACACCCATAATTCATTCTTGTGCAGGTGCAGTACATTTTCTCTCATAGTGCACTTTCTGTGTCATGGTTTAGACAAAAATATGAGTCATCCACTGAATTTTACATTTTAAAGAAATGGCCTAAAGAGTTACTTTGTAAATATAAATAAATAAATATTTCATTGATATTTGATGCACTTGTTAGTTTGATATGCAGTATGGTATGAAAAAGGACAAATTGTTAGTGCACTGACAAAGTTTCACGTATGTTAATTTTGTAAGATGAGATATTTTTGTAAAATTAGGCATGTGCATGTTCAGTGTGCAGTGACATAGTGATGTACGGGTCGTTAACTCATGCAAAAACAGATCATTTGCATAAACCATTAAAATGCACTGACAGTAATCTACATTCATTATTAGTAATTCTACATCTATTTCACAACAAATACACATGCAATACACGAAAATAAAAACTAGAAAAACATAAATCATACTATGTGACTAAAACTAACAAAAAACATTAATCACAGCCCAAAGTAGTGAGTGAAATGATGATTCAAAGATGATCAATAAGATGGTGAGATATTAAATTATAATGCTCATGTGATGCTCATGTACAGAACATTACTTTATTTTTAAATATTGTTATTTTATAGTCAGTTCCATTATCAGTGTTTCCCAGAGAATTTATTTCACCCAAAAGTGATCAGTCCCACCAAAACAAATATTTGATTCTGCCCTTACCTTTTGTTTTTTTCTCTGTGCCAGAAAAAGTAATCTTTTAAATTATTGTTAGCAGTTGAAAAATTCAACTTTTTGTTTTCTGTTAACTAAACTAGTAAGCATGTGTGTGGATTAGTGTAAAAAGAGACAAGAGAGACAAGCGTATTATTCAAGATGTGAGAGATGAAGACAAAGGAGACAAACAAAGAGCAAACAGGGATGCTGTTTGAATAAGATGCTCCTTACATAAAAGAAGTCTATGAAATTCAGCCTGTCAAGAAGAGAGTTTTCATTCCAATCTATAAAAACACCTTTGAAGACACTCATCCAAACTATAAATACCACCACAAAAAGGTTTACAATCTGTGGGAAACACCACAATGTCATCGGTTTACCTCTTCTTTGGCTTCAGTGTGCTTAAGTCTCCAGTGAGTGAAGGCCCTCATCTTTTCAAGCTTTTCTTTTTGTCTGTCCAACACCTGGCTCAGGTTCAAGATCACCTGACACACCACACAATATGCTTGTCAGTCTAAAAATTGGACAAAGGTGTTCCTCATCGTTTTCTTTCAAGTGCTAAATGTACATAAGCATGGGAGACAGAATGTGCAAGTGAGCAAAATATAGATATATGATATCTTAGACGTGGGTTAAGTGCATCCAGTCCTACACCAAAACTTTATAACAGAACGATGGAAATGAAATCTCACTTTGGAACTCAATCCATGTCCAACCAACCAGTACATTGTATCCTGGAGAAAATATAAATAAATAGATATACATGTAGTCACCTCATCTTTTCTCTGGTTGGACAACTCGTAGGTGTGTAGCAGCCCCTTAAGGCTGTCCAGCTCTGACTTCAGGCCAGCTGTCTTGGTTGCATACTTCTCCCTCTCTTTCCGCATCTCCAGCTTGTGTTGCTCCTTGAACGCCAGCTTCCACTTCCTGAGCTCAGTCAGTACATTTGACTAATTAGGGAATAGAGGGTGGGACAGTCACAGTGTGTTCATTACACTACTTTAGTAAATATGGACATATGTACACGTATCTTCAGTTTATTATAAACTAGATAAACAGGTGTGCCAGAGGTTTTGTGACTGAAAGCAATAACAAAATGCAGAAACCTGGCAGATTTCAGATAGTCTTTGGAAATAGTTTCTGGAAATATATAACAAATTCCTAGTGAAGGATTTGATTTACAGTTCTGATGTGCAATTACATTTTACAGAGGTACACCTCTAGACGATTCAGGGGTCTAGAACAGGAACAACCTAATGCAGAAGTACAGCGTAATTTGGCCTTAGAGGAGATTGTGACCTCAGCTAAATCTCTACAGGGTCAAACATTACCAAAACATGTAAATATGAACATGTTTGGCCTATAAGGAGGTAAAACAACAGATTTTCTGTATGTCTTCCACTACTACAGTCAATGGTTCACCACTGCCTTTTCCTAGATCCAACTCAGCTTAGCAGGTGATTGGTTGTCATGAGTCCTCCATGAATGAGCTGTACAACATCAGAAGAAAAAGGGCAAGAAGGACACCCACGTCCAGGCACTCACCTCCTCCAAAATCGGAGACACAATTTAAAGGTCACTGGTGCCATGAAGAGTAGAGCTGTCATCCTATTCAATGAGCCCTCCTGAGACCCAGACACTTTATATTTCCTTTATAATCATCACCAATACACCTACAATACAATACACCTCAGTATTTCTTACATTTAATCCATCTCAGTCTAACTGTCTCATTGCATGAGCATGGGAAATGTCAATATAAACCTGCACATTTCGGATGCCTGTATAGTATGCTTTGTATAATTATATATGATCTGTAACATGCAGTGAGAGTGGCATAATCATTAACTATAAGGTCAAACACATTTCAGCTTTTTCCACTACCCACTATTTTAGGTTTTTTAAATGAAGCCCAGCACATTAAAATGTGTATGGCAGGAACTGCATAATTTGCCTTTGCATATTCTTAACCCAGGGCTGACCGGGGATAACATAGCCCTTAACCTAAGGCCAGGATTAAACTACTCACATTGTGCTTCTACCTTCTACTATCCCTGGGTCAAGTCTCCACATTTATGTTTACATCCAACTTTTAACCCTGTGTTTAGTTGATTTTTGGGGTGGGGGGAAATCCTGCACTCGGAGCTAACCCTAGGCTAAAATCAGGGTTAGAATGTGCCAGGATTGTAATTGCGTGAAAGTCTTCTTAGCCTGGGGCTAACAGCTCACTTAACCTGGGGCTAAGAAGGTTCCCAGTCCTAGTCCCAGGCTATGTGGAGTGTGAAAAGCCCTTTAATGCTCTGTTGACACTGTAACATAGATTTGATCACTTAAACACCTTAAAATTAAACCTCTTAATTATGATTAAAATACATATTTTTCTCTGTTCATTTTCATTATTTCAATTTATCAAAAAATAAACCTACTTGGGCCCATTCTGCTGTTAATTGCTGAAGCCCAAATGACAACATATACATATATTATTGTACATATACTAAAGTTGTTATTATTTAGCTGTGTGAGATTCCTATATATATATAGCCATACAACATTGTCTATGGTCAGCTCTCAAGCAGACAGCAAACAAGAGCCATTAAACTGATTGACTGTGTAAGGAAGCAAACTAACCTTCAGGTTGTTGCTCCACGTGTCCAGAATGTTCTCCATCTTGCTTATGTTTTCCTCTGAGATAACCATGTCTACAAGAGCAGACTCAAGGGGGTCTGGGCTGTTTGACCTAGACCTTTCAGGTACCTTGTGTAACCTGTCTGAAAGAGTGTTTGAGAACACTGACGCCCTGCTAGATGGCCGACCTGTCATCTCCTCAGCTGAAAGGTAAAGAAAAAAGAAAGAAACACAGACAGACAGAATATCATTGGCAAATGAGACAACATTGCCACTGGATGGTATTCCTAAGCTTTTTTGACATTAAGGGAAATTAATATTATATTAATATTATTAACTACTAGAGAGCAAACCTAACATTTGTTTCTTTGTATTGTTAATTCAGTTTACCATGAGAGGCTCTCAAGTATGTGGAGGGCTCAACAATCAAGGGAGTGGCCTGGGATCTCATACTCCTGCTAGAATGCCTCCCATCTTGAGCTTCGGTGGCAGTATCTGACAGAAGACAAGAGAGGCGGGGGAAGGAGGAAGCACAATTGGAAATAGATTTTTTTTAAAAAGGGAATGCTGCTAAAATAAAATTTGAACTGGAATAAGTGAGCAAAATCAAAGATAAAAGTAAAAGTCAGAAAACAAAAGACAGTTTAAGAACAGGAAAGGTGATGGCGAGAATGCTGAATAAGATGAGCATGGCTCCTCGTCCAGGAATGCATTTATGTCAATATCTTAATTAAATCCTGCAGGGGGAAGAGAAAGCCTGCACTCTAAAGAGCAGTATGGGCAGAGTGCCAGGAGATCATTACCAGTCGGCCGTCTGCTTTCTACATCCCTGTGCACTACTCCATGACAGTTAAAGCACTAAACCTCCAATGAGAGCTGCAGCTGGAGCTGAGGGGGGGTGATGGACTGTTTAAGATGTGGGTGTCGTAGGGGAAAGAGATAGGGGGTAAAATATGACAGACTGATATCATATGCATCTTGACTAGACTGGTTTAAAAGCTCAAAATATGAGGCCGATAAAAATACACAAAATTCTTTCCATGTTGTGATGCCAAATCCTTTTTGACAGCTGATCAGTTGATGGGGGCAGTGTCTGGAAGGGCTCAACTTGTGTTTCTGTCAGAAGGGCTTAGTGAAACGTGTGTGTATGAATGTGTCCGGCATACAAGAGGAATCCAAGATACCTGCTGGCCGCTGTGATTTTATGTCATCTTTTCTCTGGGAAGTTCGACCCTCTGCAGACAGATACGAAGTGCTCAGTCGGTGCAAGTGAGCACTGTTGAGTGTCTGAAGCTTAGGGGTGACCACAGCATAGCGGAGGAGCTCCTCATACTCATCCTGTAGATCCATAAACAGTAAAAAAACAAAAAAAAACAAAACAACAACAACCAGTGGGTTCAAGTGTCTATTGATGACCATTTTATTCTTTCCCTCTCTCTCTCTCTCTCTTTTTTTTTTTTACAATCAGTATGTTATTTTCATAGTTTCTTATTTTCATGGTCATTGTTCCTGTTGCTTACGATAACACTTTCGTCTTCATCATTGTCAAGACACAATGCAAAGACAATGTTATATATGGCTTTGCAGTGAGTTAATTACTAAATTGGTATTTTAACAAATGACTATGTCAAATGTGTGGTTTGGATTATCGATTGAAACTGGGTGTATGTTTAAAACTGGTTTGCTTGTCTAATTGCATGTGTTGCTTTCTCCAACAGACTTCACTCTGAAGATGTGCTACACAATGTTCCCTAGTTGTGATAAATGTATAAAAGGCAGATAAACTGTGAAGGTTTTTTTTCTCAAATCACCTGAAGCTCAGAGGAGACAGAGCTGCCCTGATCAGAGTCCTTGGGCAGAACAGGACTGGTTGGTTCCTCTTCGTCTGAGGACATCTAGACACAAATATACATAGTTGGAATGGTATTAATTTAAGAAAACGCTACTGAAAGAACAAACTTGTCAGGACACGTATGTTTCAACATACTGCAATTATTTTTGGGGGAAATTTGATTTCCACTGAAAAAAAAAAAAAACTACTAAATTCATGATGATATAAATTTGTTTTCTGTTTTCTTGAATCTGCAGAACAAGGCTTGTAGGCCAGCGTAACTCTGCAGCACAATATTTCATTATAAAGCTTTTTTGTCACACATTTTATCTTTATCAAAAAAAATATTACAGCTTCTGCAATTTGCATATTGCGATTTTGATAACTGTGTTGCCCTACATGTAAGTTAATATGTTGTAGGGTGTGGTTTATACATAGTGCTTCATAAATTAAGTTTTTTAACCACAGGGACAAACGATACAGTTCATGAAGAGGCTTACACTGTCTGTTTGACCTGCCAGTACATGTTGTATAATGATACAACTTTAACGTCATATACAGGACATTTAAACGGCAATGTTAACTAAACACGTTAATACAAAATCTCCCCACAGCATTAACGATAATATATGATAGTGTTAACTTTCTCCAAGTAAGTTTCTGGCGAAGTTAAAACTACATAGAGCAGAAACACACGCTTCCTTTTTGTCCGCAAAGCTGAAAAACATAACAACTGTTTTGAAGCAAGTAGCGCTGTTTCACCGTCTCTAAGGGTAAACTATCACTAACGTTAAGAGATAACGTACCTACACAGCCAATAAGTATGGTTAGTTTACCTGTTATGTATTTCTATACAGGCTACCACACTTCTCCGTGGTTGGTGTTTACTCCGTCAGTTGGAAAATGCTTGCTTTGCCGTTTCAAACGGACGCACTCTTAAACAACAGACTCTGTGATTGGCTATTGTTTCAACGACATCCTGCTAAATCGTTTCTGATTGGGTACAACGTTTCCGTGGTAACGGTAAACGGAAGACCCACTGCAGCACAAATCAAAACCTCTGCTGAAGCCTGTTCTGTGATTTTGACAGTGCAGCTCATTTGCTTTACATTTATTCTGACAGCCTGAAGCAGTACAGTGTTGTGAGTATCATAGTGCATCTCAGGCTCTAGCGGTCATGTTAGGAAGACTTATAATGACTTATTATTAGTACAAGGCCTGCTGGTAGAGTGAGCACACACAATAAGCCAACTACAGTCCACACAGACATTTTCTAGGCAACTTCATATTAGTTAGTTTACGCATTAATAATAATTTTCTCGAGCGATCCAAGGTTGACACGTCATTGTATAAAGGGGTATGTTGTTTAGGTTTATGGTCAGATAATCCAATGAAAATTACAATAATGGACATTTGGAACAAATTATTTCAGGGAAAACCACAGCTGGCAGTTGTGCCCATTGAAAAGAGCCAATCTGGTTTTCAACTTGCATCAGACACGCTCCTGCATAGAGATAAGCTGATTAAAATGGTCACAAGGAAGCAAACTTACCTGTCTAAAAAAGGTGTAAGTCATTGGGGAATACCACCACCCCGTGAACCTCCCTGTGGCCATTTTCTGTGTTGTTCACTTAGGCAAAAAAACAAAATGAGTTACAGCAATGTCTTAACCTCCTCAAGACCTAGTGCTTAACAGTATTAAGACACATATGTGGGATAGGCCTAACAGCTTGGCAGTCCAGGGCTGGGACAGACTCTAGAGAGGAGAGACATATGGTCCCTCTCAGCCGTGGCAGAGCTGCAAGCAGTACTGTTGGACTGGAGCCTCCTCACCACCTGGCTGAGTGCTGAGAGTACTCCACTGTCCGAAGGAGTCCTGTCAGCATTGTCATAAGACCTGCAGGCTGACTTTGAAAAGGAGGAATGTATGGTCGTGACACTGCAATAATTGTAATAATTCTTGCAACTACAACTTCTTTGCACCTTATCTACCTATTTATCTCAAAACTCAAGTGTTTTATTCTATTGTTGTTGTCTTATTTAAATGTACCTGGCTGCTATGATGATCCAATTTCCCTTCAGGGATTAATAAAATCAATCAATCAATCTATCTATCTATCTATCTATCTATCTATCTATCTATCTATCTATCTATCTATCTATCTATCTATCTATCTATCTATCTATCTATCTATCTATCTATCTATCTATCTATCTAATCTCCATCAGATTTAGTCTGATACATTTCATATAAATTACACATTATAAACAAAATTATTACTTAGTGCAAGAAAGCCTTGGCACAGACACCCCTCAGCGCACACACGCACACACCTTTTTTTTCATTATTACATGTCTTGACAGGCTATGAATTTGAACCAGAATCATGAGGCACAGAGGATAATCCTCGCTGCTCTGTGGGGAACGGAGGTTTCCTGTTGAATGACATGAAGTCTTAGCTCCCACAGATTACTTATTTCCATTTCAGAGCAGATGATTCACATGTTCTGAAAGGTTTTGGTGATGTGTTCATCACAGTTTCTCTTTTAGGGTGATTTTCGTCATCCCAACTTGGCTTGTTAGTCTTGTTGCTTTTTCATCATGCCATTGATGTTAAACTGCTTGTCTGCTTTTGTTAAGTCATTAAAACAAGGACTAGTCACAGATAACTGCATGGTTTGTGTAAGCTTTGTAGAAGGGCCAGCAGCATTTTAGGCATATGTACTGTATCTGTCTTACTGGCAGCACTTTAATAGCACAATACATAATAGCCAACTGTTAAAATGGTTTAGTGCCCAGTCTTTTCTTGTGTGATATTTGTACTATTAATTGCATCATGTTATATGCCTCCATGTTGGATTAAATACAGTTACATTAAATTGAATTACTATCTCTCAAATATATAAAATCCACATTCTCTTAATTAATGCAAATCAATCAAAGGATCAGCCGTTACGCGAGTACATCCATAAATAAAATGATAAACTGATTTTAAGTGAGTTTCAGATAGACAGACAATAGAAACAGGCCTCCATTGTGTACCCACTCTGTATAATGTTTTCCCTCTGTTGCAGACAAAGGTAATAAACTACTGTTGATAGTGGTTGGATTAAAGCCAGTATTATTGCCTCAAACCTTTCTTTAGATCCCTTTTGTAAATTTCACCTTCCTTTCAGCTAAAGAAATGCACCTGGGCCTGTGTGTTGAAATGGGATTCAGCTCACATTCTTCTCTCATAGCCTGTTCAATCTGTTCCAGGACAATAATCACAATCCATTTGACTTTCTTCCCCCTGGTATTTTAGCTCAGGTACGTTAGACTATTCAGGGCCTTGCAATGGTAGACAGAACAGAAATTAGGAAATAATGTTCTGTGCTTATACAAGTTGACTTTGTTAGGGAACTTTTTCTTACAGTGCTTTTACATTTTTATACTGTATTTTTATTTTAATAGATTCCAAAAATCTTATTAAGTCTTTTCCTATTGTTTTGTGTATGTGTAATTTAATCTTTTGCATTCCAGTTGTGAAACTAGATTACAAACTTGGTGTGAAATTGTCTCTGCCCTTGATCGATTTTTTGTCAGCCGTATTTACAGACATCCATAACTCCTGAAGACAACAACTAATGTGCTATCATCAATCGCAATGTTATCAACCCATTTTTCTCTCGTATGAGACAATGATGACCTCTCACTGAATGCAATGTTGCCAGAACTCATCTTAGAGTTATTCATAGCTTCCTGCTGTTTTCAAATTAGTTTTCATTACATTTTGATGGACCAGGACTTCCCCCTTGGGCCACTCTAATCCATCACATCTCTCTATCAGTGACACCAGTGTCCTTTTGTGTTGCTTTCAGAATGCTTGGGTACCAAATTTCCCAGCACTTGTAAATACACTATGACCGCATTCTTCGCACACAGATAAGATAGTGTTAACAACCAGGTAACAGACAACAAGGCTGCATAATTTCTGTCATTATTATCCAACGTGTCCGTATAGTATGTATGATAAATGCTGACTCCAGCATAGTGGACAGCCATATGAGTGCAGATGAGCAGTGGAGGCTGAGAGAGAAGATGGAGACTAAATCAGTTAGCCCGAGCTTCTATCTCTACAAGGCAAAAACAATTACCATCAGTGTCCACATCCGTTTGTTATAATCTGGATGACGATAAGCAGCAGACAGTTGTTCCAGTCTACCTCCACCTCTTAGTCATTTCTTTAAGAAAGCTGGCACTGCAGGTACTACATCCATTTTAGATCTCGGGCAGTGCGATACATATTAAAAAATAGAAAAGAATGCGTTATAATTTATATATTTGTATAAGTGTATTCATACATTGAATAAAGGTCATACAGCACAAGTTTAATGGTTTTGTATTTGGTAGATTTGAAACACAAACTTATACATTATGTTTTGTATATAATTAAGAAGGCCTCCTGTGTTAAATACAACTCAAATATCATGTAACATATTGTATAAGTAATTTTTTTATGTAGTATGAGACAAACTTCATGCAAAAATGCAATGGATGTTCTTGATGAGAGGGATACCTAGGATTCTAACAGTGGCTTTCTTGTCACCTATCACCAATATCAGGCTACATTTACTGAATGTAGCATGGCGATTTATTAACTTAAAAGCTATTCTTCATCCATACATTCAGTAACAAATCTGCAAGCTCGAGGAAACATCAATAAAATATTCATTGTATTTTCACTGTCATAAAAATACTGAAATTCGCGAGCATCTTTCTTGCTTGTGTGCATGTTTGTGTGACAAAGAGAAGTGTATCAGTCTTACAAGAAAAGAGAGAGAGAGAGAGAGAGAGAGAGAGAGAGAGAGAGAGAGAGAGAGAGAGAGCGTCCATTGGCATGCGTAGTGGACTGTGTGTGTGTGTGTGTGTGTGTGTGTGTGAGGGTCATTCTACTGTCCCGTACATTAAGCTAAGTGCTCCTCAGCTCTCCAGCAGTAGTAAATGGAGTCTTATGGCTTGAGGGGGGTTTGTCTCCCGACTCTGAATCAAAAGCAGAGAGTGTCCTAAGCCCTAGGTCACTGCTTCTGTGAATCATCAAATTCAGTAGATAAAGATAGATGCCTTTCCTTTTGTTTAAGTGTGTGTGCGTGTGTGCCCTTGCACACTTTTTGTGTTGTGTGTGTCTTTGTACACACTGTATGCATCATTTAAAATCTTATTCAGTATACATTGTGGTGAATATGATGCACAACCAGTGTCAAAGTCATTTTTCTGTGTTTAAACTCAGAAAGCAAATGCACAACCAGGCTGCATGATTCACTGCATTTCCTACATGTTAAGTATTTTAATTTGGAGCTATTGAGATTTTGTTTTTCCTAAAATGAGAACAAGGAATCAGATGGACAGGGTGTAACACATCAAAGCGCTTACTGGTAGTAATTTCTGCAGTGGACTGAGCTGGTATAGTTTGCAGGCTTTAATGATGTGAATACTGAAAGGGTGTATGTCCCTGCGCTTGCATCAGTTCGTCATCTCTTTTTTTCCCCCTGCCTCACTTTCTCTAGGAACCACTTGCAGGTTTCAGAGGCGTTAGAATCTGACATAGCAGGCACACAGGCAGTCACTGTCTCACACTTCATCTAAAGAGCCTACTTATCTCTAAGAGCCTGTGTTAGGTTATGCAATTATTGTAACAGGATTGTATAATCTTTGTGCGGTGTTCGTCAATAGTACTACTCCCTCTGTGGTCATTATTTGTGGCCCTAGAAAGAATGACAGTGTTAGAGCTGCATCTGAAAATCAAGGGTTTTACTTGGTGTATAGGCTCATGTTAAAAGTGGAGTGTAAATGAAAAACAAAATACTATACATGAGCAAAAGTAATTCTGAAAACACAATACCTGCCATGAATATGAACCACAAGCTATAAACAGATTTATGAATGTAAATGTTAATGTAGTTTTATGAATCCTGAAGATTGCCAGAGGCTGCGCACCAGCAGTGAATATTCGATTGTACAGGTTGAGTCATTATACCAACAAATTCACCTGTGCTGGGATGATGTACGGTCTAAGAACCAGTATAAAATCTTCTCATTATGGATATAAGAGTGACAGTGTGAGAACTTTGTCTATTCAGAACCAATGTTACATTCATAACTCTCATTCTGTGTCAGTACTGCGTGACTCTGACATCTATGGTCAGGACCATAAAGTATCTTGTAGGAGTTCCTGGGCCTCAGTGTGTACTTGCTGGTGATCCAGGTCCAGGTGTCATATGTTCAATTCAATTCAATTCAATTTTATTTGTATAGCACCAATTCATAACAGAAGTTATCTCAGGACACTTTTCAAATAGAGCAGGTCTAGACCGAACTCTTTAAAACATTAATTACAGAGACCCAACAGTACCACCATGAGCAAGCACTTGGCGACAAGGGCAAGGAAAAACTGCCTGTTAAAAGGCAGAAACCTAGGACAGATCCTCCGGCTCTAGGTGGGTGGTAGAATATGTGGCCAACCAGTTGTGAAACAAGGTTTATCCTCAGTGGAGACCATTTATCCAGATGTGAATGACAAGCAAGGTTAGCAGTGCCTTAGCAACTGACAAGGGCAAGGGTCAAGAGCCAAGCAATGTGACTGCACATTTGGTTACATTATCTCTTGTTTACAGATTATGTCTTTTACTTATGGTATACTTTTGTTCTGTTTATAGGTTGGGGTCTAAGTGTATGGCTTATATTAATTAGATTTAGCTCTCTCTTTCTGATGTATGAGTGTATCCACGAAACACTGGGTCAGTACTCCCTGGACATTATCTCCTATAATAAAACTAATGAGTAAATAATTTACAAGTCCTGCTATGTTTGGTGGAGCACTTGAGATAATTACATTGTTTGAAATAGCCATATTATACTTTTTTTTCCTTTTGGTATAATACTAACTCTATTGTTTTCTTATTTAATGTCCATTCCTTATGGCATATTGCTTCCTATGAGTAACTGTGTGGAGCATTTACAAATGAGTAATATTAGCTATAGAGGGAAGCTTGTTACTTTGAATTATGCACCGAAATGTAAATTTGCACCTGGATATTTGCAGAGCTGGGAAATGTGCACGATAAGCGTGCTGGTCTCAGTGACACCAGCACCCAAACCTGGCGCACTCACACAGCTGGAAGTGCTCAGGTGTCGGTCAGCACCATGGACAGAGAAACAGTCGTTTAAATGCAATGTGTAGTTTCACAGTCGACTCTGCATATCAAGGTGAGGTCCCAGACGGCTGTACTTTTTTTTTTTTTTATAAAAGCGGTTATCATTGAAGTTGAAAACAGAAAAGACGAATCAATTTAGATATTCAAGAACATCCTTGCAGCACACACATGTGAAGCGGTCAAAAACTTTTCGATTAAGCAGCAGTTTTTGCCTGAACGGACAACTTTAATGCAGGTGATGTACTAAACATTCACTGAAGGAAATACTAAGCGATCAGGTTTCACTCCGACCTCTTACATTTTTAGACCTTTCTCGTCTGTTTAGCATTCATGCGTTGCAGTGTTTCACGTCATTCAGTCAACTAACTAGATTGTTCCATCAGACGGAATTACCCGCATCACTCAATGAAGTACAATTATTGATTACACTGCCCCCCCCCCCCCCTCCCTCTCTCCATCCCTCCCTCCCTCTCTCCTACCACCACCTCTCTCTTTCGCCTCTCTCCTTTCCTGAAGTACTGCAGCGAGGGAGGACTGCATCGAAAAAAAAAAAACCCTCTCTGTCGTGCGCTGGCAATTACCTCTGATCCTATTCTACAGTAAAAAACCTACAAGATTTTTTCTCCATAAAGCGAAAGCGGAGTCTGATGCAATGGGTTACTATCAGCTCAGTCCACTTCTCTCGCCATAAATGACGGTAAGTAATTACTACTTTTTCCCTGAAAACATGCTGACTGTGTAACACTTCCGAGATCAGAAAAATCCAGTATTTTCCAATAAACTGTTTTCTCATCAGCTATATTCGGACTTACAACTCTTGTTGGTCATGTATGTGCATCTTTTTAATCGTATCTCCAACTAACATCTGAGCTGGGAGACAGGGATACCTAATTATTTATTCATAAGTTTGTGTATCATTTGTGAAAAGTTGGGATGGTTTCCGGGCATGTGTTTTTTTCTGTGTGTGCACTAAATATTCCTCCATATGCCTCCTGCAAAAGTAGAGAAATTGGTATCATTAAATGAAAATAGGCAACAAGAATAAGAATTGGTTCATATAAGGAGGGATGTTGTGGAGTTCCAGTTTCTGTACCTTTTTATTTATTTCATTCAGTATTAAAGGATGACATAAATGCTGTAAATTGTAAATTAAAATATGAGATTTAAGCTATATGAGTAAGCTCTTTTAATGAAGTTGCTTACTTGAACTGTTATTTGTAACATTTAAGTGGTTGTTTGGTTTAATGATCACTGCCTGGAGCTCATAGTTTACTCATCTTTTAATTCACCAGCATGATTTATAGTGAACCACTTGTCCTTTGCATGAGCAGAGTTTGGGGTTGCTGGCTGAAGACCGTGCATGCTGTAGTGCAATCCAGCCACCTGCCCTGGGGCAGTTAAAGCACTCTGCACTGCCGCCAAAAAGAGGAGAGGATGCGGGAGCAGGCAACTGACTCATCCGTGAATTGCACCTCAAGAGGCAGTGAGCGATTGACAGGCACACAGCCGGTGAACTGGAAATCTGTGGCAAAGAGCTTTGTTTGCAATCTGAGGGCTGCTGTAGTAGTCCTGCTGGGTAAACACTGAAGGCGTCCATCAATGAAAAAGTGTTAGATGAGGTAAAGTGATTGCAGGTTGCAGAATTCATTCCTCTGGCCCATTTTCAAGTTGATGTAGGTTTTTTTTTTTTGCCATGGTAAACAAGAAATATCATTGTAATTCAGCATGCCCCTCATCTGCATTCAACAACAACTGCTTGTCAAGCATCCACTGAGATGTAATGTTGTTAGTTTTCCCGAAGTTCATGCAGCATCACACAAGCTATTTAAGGAGGAAGACATTTTCTATTCCAGTGTCTCACTGCTGAAAGAAAGAAAGGACTCAAAGTACAAAGTACGCTGTGCCTTTGACAATGTAGTAGATAGCTTTACAAAAAGATTCTGTCTGCACATTTTGTTGACCTGGGCAGGAAGCAAATAGGGAAGTACTCATTACTATAAGGGTTTTTTCAAGTTAAACACAATAGCATTGCATTCAAGAATCCTCTTGTCAGGATGAGAGAGCATGCATTGCTTTCTGAAAGGGACAAAAGATGGCATTTTTTCTGTGAATTCTCACAACCTTTGTGAATTTTTGGCACATTTTATACACAACCAGCATGCACCATTGGAAACTGTTTGACAAAATTAACAATTAATTGTAAAAAATCACCACTAAATGCGTCACATCTTGCATCCCTTGCCTAATCAGTGCTATTGCGTCATTGCAACATAAAGTGTAAGGTCTGCACCAGACAGTGGCGGTGGCACGTTATGTTTTATATCTGCTATGTAAGCACTGTATTGTGTCAGCAGTGAGGTCTGGCAAGGCAAGGAGACCATATGTTTACCAAGAAGATCAAACAGACATCGGCCTGATGCAAAAGGAGACGACATACTTTACTCTCTATAAATCTTCAGGGTGGGATTGGAAATATGCCCTTTTCTGAATGGATGCATTTCGTATCCATTAATGTTTTCATCGAAATATGGAGATTCACAGTAGTAATATAAACAGAGGGGGGTTATTTTCATAGAAGTGACTAGTCTATACTAATATTAGTCAGATGCATACTTGCTGCAACAGCTTTATGAATCTGTATGACGTAACATTGGCTTGCAATCAGCTCTGCTTTTGAAGTTTTTATCTGCGATGGTTGAGTTCTGACTGTTGAAGAGAGGTGAAAGATGAGGTTTATGTGCTTTCAAAGATGTTTTAGAAAAACGATTTTATTCTATTCTTACGTGGAACCATTTGCAGAAACAGCCATTTTCTTCCACTCTCTTGACATTTTTTTTGCCCAGCCTCAATTTATTCTGTTATTAATTCTTCTCATATACCCCCCACCTATCTCTCTCGGCCTCTCCCTGCCCCTCCACTCAGTCAGTAATGGTATCAGTGTTTGATGAAATCTCCTAACGGAAGACGTCCCGGGCTGGCTGTGCCTATGCCTTCCAGATGAGGTCATGGGCTCGCCGTTTTGATGGGATTACATGCGGCTCTGCCCACTTAGAGATTGGACCTGCTCTTTCTGATGCTAATAGAACAAACCAGCCATCAAGCCACTGTGCTTGCACATGTCTTTGAAAGGGTAGGACACTGACAACTCAAATCTGACTGAGATGGAAAGCATTTTGGTTCCTATAGGACAAGGGACATAAACTGTAAAACTGATCCAATGTATAGTGCACATCATATTTAAAAATAAACACGAAAGACAGAGATTTCCCACTTCAGAAAGCATTTTCAGAGATGCAACCATCATGCATTTTATTTTTATTTTATTATATTGTATTGCACAAACAATAGTTGTAGTGTATAAAAAAAGAGAAGCCCTCAGCTGCCCTCAAAAAAGGCACTATTGATTTCCCTTCAAGTTCTCGTGAAAAATATAAAGTCTTTGTCTCCTCCAGCAGTTATGGGTCAAGCAACCTGAAATTCTAGGACCAGAATTGATTTTTCACTTCTTATTCTAACAACCTGCTTGCCCAAACCAATCTGTTTGGTGACTGTTAGACTCGAGGTATCACCAACTAAAACATCAATCCCTCTGACAAAGTGCATTGCTGGTAGGAAACCCTCACTGTGCTGATAACTGCTTCATTATGTTTTAAGTTCTTCTGACTAAGGGTGTTCATTACCACTGTCATTATTACAGTATTATGTGGTGTGATTATTCAAGTTTTTTTATTTCAAAATGCTCATTAGCAGTGTCATTACAGTGCCCCTTTTGGCTAATGATTCATGATAAGCAGCGGAAGAGTCTACTGAAATGGACTGAGTTGGTCACACACATACATTTTTTACTTTTCTCAAATTGCTTTCCCTCAGATTGATGTATGTCTAAAACTTGTGAGTAACTCTAATCTCTTCATTTTTCTTTATGTTCATGCACAAGGAGATTTGGGGCCAAGTGATACTTGACCTAGTGTTTTTTTAGTATTCTAAAGAGGTTGAAGGAAAGCAGGGCCGCTATCCATCATGCAGACAGGGGGTATAGCCAGAGCAAGGCCTATTTTCAGCCATCCTCTCATGGTTCACAGCAAAAGTACATACACTAAATTAACTCTCTTTGTTCTAATTTTAGACAACAGCTATATGCCCTGGGATGGTGGACACAGCTTCTTTATGTTCCATTTCTTAATCATCATATTGGTTTGTTATCAGTAAAAATATATTGTCAAATGAGTTAAAGATGACATACTTGAAAAAAAGGTGTATAATACTGGATTTACAACTAGGCATGTGTTGACTGACTTGGGTGAACACAGTAAGTTGGACTGGTGAGCTGGTTATAGCCCTAAAATGCACAGTTGATTTTAAATGGAAGAATGAGCATCTTCTGACAAACAGGCGTTAGTGGAAACAATAGATGCTAAAAGGGAGCCTCAGAGAGAAGCAGAAAATAAAGAGGACGCAGACGAAATGGAAAGGGATTGGGACAGCATAAAATAAATCAGAGATCAGTTTGTTTGGGAGTGTTGGTGGTTACCCAGTTTGATTGTGATTGCTCCCGTTGCTCGCGCTGTCTGCGCTGTCAGGGTCCCGTCAGCTGTGGTCAGATGAGGTTGGTCTTCTGTGTGCTCGGGTGTCCTCTGAGCTTCATCACCACTGACAGGGGGCCTCACCATACACTCCATTGATTCTCTGACAGGCAGGCTCCACGAGGACACACCCCTTTTGCCGGTGTGCATGCTCTATTTAAGTAAAAATGACGTGTGATAGCTGACATGACCTGATCCTGAAACAATAAATAGCATTGGTTCAGTGACACCACTGAACTCTGACATGCTCCTGGCAGGGCCTTTATTGTACTGAGGCATTCAAAATTGATGCAGTCAATAGATAAGTCTTACACATGACAAGAAACCCAAGAAAGAAAGAATTGAGAAACCCTGTAATACTAATCCATCATTTATGAAGTACAGCAGTCTTCTTCATTGGTTATTATTATACAGGAAAAAGAGAAAATCATGCCATTAATAACAAGTTAACCCCTTGCTAAAAAAGCTGTCTTTATGAATCATCCTTAGGACAATATCTAAGGCACCACCGGTGTCAATGGAGGTATTAAGAAATTATCAGTCCATGTGTAAAAGAGTGTGCTCATAAGCACAGAAGTCCTCCAATGAGCCAAAAGGGATTAGCAGAGTCACCTTGAATCAGCAGTGTCATTTTGCCCAGTAAAATTGCATTATGGGAGCTGGAGCTGGCCCTGTGATTTGTGTCCTCCTGACAAGGCTTCAGTGTTCATTAGAGGCTGTGGTGAGCAGCTCCTAGACACACGGGACCCCGCACACACTGGACAGCTCTGACCACACACACACACACACACACACACACACACACACACACACACACACACACACACACACACACTGGACAGCTCTGGACAATCTCCATCCTAGTATCCAAGTATTCACTCTATTTTATGCTGAACTGTTTTACGAAAAATTATCAATTTTCTTTTTTGCTTTTGTGTTATAATGGTTGTGCCTCGGTGTTAAGACAAATTATAGAATAAACAAGCCAGAGTGAGCCTGTGGAGGCAATGTAATGATTAATGGTGGATCACAGTTTGAACACTCACATGAAATCATGTTACATCATTTGCACTGTTAGGCTGGGGTCTCCCTCCCATCAGCACAGGCCTGCCAAGATGGTAAAGGGCTTTCCCATCCATGCTGTGAACACACACTCACATATGTGTGTAGCATGTTTGGGTGTGTGAGAGAGTCTTTCTGTGTGTCAGTTAATATGCACTTCTTGCAAGTATGTGTGACCCCTTCTATGTGTTAAAGACACCTGCAAAATCAGGGGCCTTTGAGAATATCTACCGTGTGTGTGTGTGTGTGTGTGTGTGTGTGTGTGTGTGTGTGTGTGTGCTTCTATGTGCCGGAGTGTGCGTTTATCTATGTATCCACTTATGACCATTTCTCCTTTCCTCCTTTATTTGCACGGATTAAATATGACAGTGCTGTTCCGGTTGGATTGTCACTCCTATTATAATAAACCAGCTCTTTATTGGGGGCAAATTGATTTCAGGCAGAGCCTTGTTTATTGGCTTCTGTTTCTCAGAGTTGATCATGAGTCAGCAGATTCTGCATCTCTGTTTAAAATGCTCATCTCTTCAAGTCAAACTCATGAAATATAGAAGAAGGAGAGCGCCCCTGGAAATTGAATATTCCTTTTTGAATAAAAACTGAGAGCTATACAGCCAAAGCCTTTTTCCTCACATCACTCCAAATGATTAAAAGGCCTGGGAGAATGGTGAGTGAATGATTAAAGAGGGTATGTGCTGTCAGTGGGGTGTCACCTGTTAGTCTGGGATAGTTACAAATATAGTGGGGAAGACATGAGTTACAGGCAGTATCTAATGGTGATGATCTCCCTCTCTTTTACTTTCTTCCTCTTTTCTCCCTGATCTCTCCCCTGTCCTTCCTCCTGCTTGTTCTCTCTCTTTTTTTTTATCTGTCTGTCTCTTACCCTTCCCCCATCTTTCTCAGCCTGGCCGATGATTGCCACAGCCATTGTGGGTTATCTCCTGTGGTGACTGCAGACTTAAGAGTTTTCTTCCCTGCTGCATCTCGAGACCCACTGATCTCACCATTCCTGCAATTCCCCTGCCAGCTTACACTCACCCCTCTGCCCCTCTTTCTTCTACTTCTAAATATCCTCTGAACCCCTGCGAAGACCTACCAGTGGAGCCACAATGGAGGACACTTACAATAACAGGACTTCCCTGGCTAAGGGGGCCAAGGACATAGTCAAGGAGGCCAAGCGGCATGCCACAAAGAAAGTCAACAAGGTGGTGGACCGTGCCACTGATGAGTACTCAACCCACCACAACTACAGCCGATTCCAGGATGAGGACGAAGATGAGGATTTCTACCGGAACCCCCCGAGGCAGGATGGAGAGGGCTACCATGACAACGAGGAGGGCTCCAGCGATGCCACAGAGGGCCATGATGATGAGGATGAGATCTATGAGGGCGAGTACCAGGGGATTCCCTCAGCAGGAGATAGGAAGCATAAAGAGGGCCAGGTGGCACTGGGACAACCAATGTCAGATGCCACAAGGGACCGTAAAGGGCTGGAGGAAGAGAGACAGGCTGATGAGGAGGAGCTGGCCCAACAATACGAGCTAATCATCCAGGAGTGTGGCCACGGGAGGTTCCAGTGGCAGCTCTTCTTAGTGCTCGGGCTGGCACTCATGTCAGATGGGGTGGAGGTGTTCGTGGTGGGCTTTGTGCTGCCCAGTGCAGAGACAGATATGTGTGTGCCGAACTCCAGCTCGGGATGGCTAGGTAAGGGACCTTTTTTGTGTTTGAGTGTTGGTGAATGTGCATGCATCTACCCTGCTAGAGGGAAATTATGCAATTCCTTAAATATTAAAATATAAAATTGCATCTATTTGATTAGTTTTTAAATAGTGTTTTACAAAGATTTCTTTCTAGCCTTGATTATTGACCTTTTAGTCTGCAGTATATTGCATTGTGGAACAATAATGTGCCCAAACACTTCATAATTACAATATTACAGTGCAACTTTGGTATGTAAAAGGTAGGGGTATGCATACAAAATCAAATGAAATAATGAGGAGAAAATGGTTACATTAGCTTTTGCCTGGAGACTATAGGTTTATAACAGAAAGTTTGTGTTACAAGCTGGAGGTGTGGAGTTTGAAAGATGTGTCTTTACCAGGCAGGGAGGGTGCAATGAAAAAACACTGTTCAGTTGCATTATGGGAAATGTTTTGGAGCTTGACCCATGCTAGGACCTAAAAGTCAGAACATCTCGACCTCTGCTGCATAGATTTTTAAATTTTCCCCTGACCTTTAAGTAATGATTCCCATGCTATTAGAAATGTCATTTTGTATAATTTTTAGCACCTTGTTATTCCAAAAGAAACTGATCAGAGGACATTTTCTCTTCAGTATGATGGATGACTAAGCAGGACAATTGGCAACAGAAGCTATCAAAGATCAATGTATAATTTTAACTATGATCATAAACTATGCTTTTGGCTCAGCAGAGGAGCTTACTGGTTCTTCTTCTGGTTTTCTTGCCACCTGCTCTTGCATCTAAGGTATTCCACATACTGAATAGTATCCAGTATTACCAGCATTCTGTACTGTGTTTAATAATTCAGACACAATTACATTCAAACCATTTTAATATGCAAGTATAATTCATTTGATATTTTCTCAGCGTTGGCATGTTACATGGTTTGATTTAGTATATAGTGTGCAACCTGGACAAAAGGTAGGGCCACACTACTTTCTGTGGAATACTGTTTGTCTTAAAAGATTATAAAGGGTGGTTGTGTGTGTTTGTACTGTATGTGTCACACTTTATCCCAGTTGTGTTTCACATGGATTCTGTGTTTTGGTCCACTGTTTCTGTGTCAGGATTAAGAGGGTAGCTAATATTCCCCGTGTGCGCTCTGTGTGTTGAGCAGGAGTCCCAGCAGTCCCTATGGCTGCAGGTGTATAATCCATCACCACAGAGCTGTGTACATGGGCGGACTCACTGTGTCAGTACCAGAGTGGCAAGGACATTAATTCAGGCACACAGACCTTAGATAGTAACTGCCACTGTGAGACATGACAATATATCAAGTGCACCGCAACATCTGATGCAAAATTGATACGCTGAGGCCTTTTTGGAGAGTGGTGGTTGTGACTGAAAGTTTGAAAAATTTGGATTACAGACACCCCATTATATGTTCTTATCATACTTTTGCCTATACATGTTTGTTCACTTGACTATTCCAGTCAACAAAAAATAATAATTAATGCTTTATTGCATCTTAATGTTACTAAATACATATATAAAAGAGTTTATTAAAATATGTTTGTATTGGGTTGACAGTCCTTGCAAGATGTTGTGTACGGTGCACCTTCACTTTTCTGTCTCTTTCCAAGTATCCATGTAAACTCTTTTCTGCCTCTCTAGCTAAGCAAAGTCCTGCAGGCATTCATGCTCTACGCTCTGCTTCTCCTTGTTCGTGACTCCATCCTCACCCCCTGTCCCTCTCTCTCACCCTCCATTCTCTATGTGCCTCTCTTTTCTTCTCCCATCCTCCCCCATTCTCCTCTCCTTTCTCCTACTGATTGCCTAGAGGCTCCTCCCTGTTGAGGTGAACATGATTGTGTGTGTGTGTGTGTGTGTGTGTGTGTGTGTGTGTGTGTGTGTGTGTGTGTGTGTGTGTGTGTGTGTGTGCATGTTTTAGCATGGCCTACATGATTACTATGACCTTGTTGGTATCCATTTGGAGTTTTCCAGAGTAATTACACTTAATTACAGCCAACAAAATTAAGTGAATTGGTGTTTTACAGGTGCCATGGTAATATTTTATACTCTTGAAGTGCAGAAATAAACAGCAGACAGTTAAATCTGTGGATGGATTTGATTTGGGTGGTCTCATTTTTCATGTATTTCACACAACCTGTATTTAACCAAGCAGGACAACAGTCCTTATTTTGCAGGGACACCCTTACAATAATATGTCCCCTTCATGATGGTCTGGCGTGGCAATAAAGAATTGCTAGGGGCACAAGGTCTAGACCACCCTCCAATGCACAGACCTGTGTACAGTTTTAGCAGTGGAGCCTGCATTTGGCCTGGTCATATGTTCACATTACCACAATTGGCAGGTTTAGCGTTTAGGAAGCCAGTGAGGGATCATGTCTTAGCTGCTGCTGCTGCACTAGTGACTCATACTGTTTACAGGAAATGGATTGTGATCTTGAAAGGGAGATTTTTCCACCTGGGTTACACACTACTTGTGACACTACTTACTTGATGCATTTCCATGTACTTAAAGCTCCATATATAAGAAGCATTTTACATATTATTTAAATATATATTGTAATTATATTATAATTGGAGTCCACAAGGCAGGGGCATCCAGCTGGCTGTGGCCTGAGAGGTATAGGTCGGGCATTGATTTCTTCATGGTGTTGGCTGATGGGGTGATATGTAAAGGGAAAGCTAGTTAGCAGCGTCAAGTCAATGGTCCAAATAAAGTATAGGAACATTGCTGTTATTCTAAATATGATTGTAATCTATTTTTCAGCCTTTGGTCTAGTCTATGTCACTTTTGGACGATACCCGGAATGATGCTCACTCTCGCCTGCGGACTGTGAACTGAGTACGAAGCATGAGCAACAGGACACTGACTGTAGTTCCCTTAACGACCACTGCTGTGATTATAAACAACAGTTTTCTGAAAGATACATACAGAACCTTTAAGTGACCAGATTGTAGTCGACTTTCTGCTGTTAGCTGATTTCTTTAACATTGTATGCTGTAGGCTGTACATGAAACGCAGCTTCTGTAATTGGGATGTGTACCCATTTTTCTAAATGGCTTTTTATGTGGGAGCAGGTGCATGCAGGCAAAAGTACTGTATCGCTGTGACAGCAGATCAAGAGGATGAAACGAGAGATTATCACGTCTAAAACTAAAACTAACACAAAGTATCTTCTAGAAGTGATGATGGTTTCCACATTGGAAACTTTTACTTTAGTCAGGCTCATTCCTGTTGTAAAGAAAAGCTGTGTGCTCTCCCAAAGTCAGGCATCTCACTGCATATTGTATTACTATTACAGAGAAAGTGAGTGAGTACACTTCCAAAATAAAGTCAAGAGTAGAGCAGAAATCTGATTACTGAGCTACCCATGTATGCACGGATTTACAGCAACCAGGTTATCGCATGTAAATACATTCTCCAATCTCCTGCATAACGTGGTTTCTTGTATGCAGGTGGTAAGAAGTGGATGGTGATTCCATGTGTTTCAAAGGATGATGGAGCTGTGAAGTCGAACTTCCCATTCCCTAACAGGCGTAAAATCACCCTAAGCTTCCAAAAAACAAATAAATCAAAAGTTCAAAAACATAGTTGACCACAGCACAGAGGAAATTATTCATTTTATTGAACATTTTAATTCACACTTTGAAAATGTTTGAATTGTTTTGAGTACAGCCATTTAGTGTTTGGTTTAGTTCCACATGAGCTGGACTCTCATTGTGCAGCCCCATTAATCACATAACAGGCAGAGACAGAGGCATGCTGCAGAGAGCTGAGTGTAATGGGATAATGCAGTATGAAAAACGCAAAGCCCTGAATAGGTTGGATGACTGAAATGCTGATTAGATTACAGAATTCAGTTTGGTCCTACCAATATTTCAATCTTTAAGGCTACATGGGAATGAAGGATGGAGAGTTTGGGTGGGGGTTAAATACTGTAAATACTTTAAATAAGAGTGGACAATGTGGGATGGAAGCAGGAGGGAAAACAAGCACTGTGTGATGCAATATGTGTGATGATCAGAGGAGAGGAGAGGAGGAGGGACAGCTTTAAAGCAGAGAGATTGCCAAGTTAGAGAGGAGTAATGGGGAGAGAGATGTGGGTGGATGGGAGCAAAGAGGTGGCAGATTGGTGGTATTCAGTACACCAACAATGTGAGGGAGAGGCTCCACTATCATCTCAGACACAACAGACAATGTGAACGCATCACCCTATCATTACTTATTTGTTCTCTTAGGCTGTCTTTTCCCTGCCAAGACTCCCCTCATTTCTCCGTCTGACTCTGTCAACTCGGCTCTCCTTGTTTTCATTTAAAATCCTTCTCTACTACCAATACTTTCCCCTCCTCTCTTGTTCCCACTCTTCTTTATCCTACTATTCTACTTCCCTGCCTTCTCTTGTGATCACTTGTACCTTTTTCTTCTTTGGGCTTCTTTGTGTCCCAGTCTCACTCTCTGTCACCTCTCAAGCTCCATCTCCACAGTACTTCTCCCTCTTTGTGTCCTTTCTTTTCCCTTCTTTTCTTATTGTCTGTACGAGCCAGCTGGCAGGCTGTGTGGGGCTGTGTGGTCCAGGGGCAGCTGAGCATGGCTAAACTGCAGTAAGATCGCAGCGTCACTGCGGAGATTACACTACTGAGTAGTGCAGCTCCACATTGTGTGGGAGAATGTGTGTGTGTGTGTGTGTGTGTGTGGGAGTGGAAGGGGGGAGTGTGTGACGGGATTGAGTGTGTGTGCATTTGTGTGCGCATATGGACCAAACCTGCTGCCACCAGCAATATCAGTCACAAGTAAACCGGGTCTAACTGCTCGCTCTTATCAGGGGTTCATAGCATCACTATATTTCATGCGAATTATCCACAGTCTTTAATGTAATGAAGGTTGTATCATTACTGATGCTGAGTGAGTCATTTTTAACCCTGCACTCTAAGCCCTACAATAGATTACTTTCATATAGATTTCATTGGAATCCTGCCCCCACAGATATGACTTAAATATGACAAAAAGCTTCAATCTCTTTTTCTGCGGAGGTGGCAGAGGATGGAGGCATGAATCCGATCAAACTGACACGATGTAGTACAAACGTGATTACACGCTGCTCAGTGCAAAAGAGCTGATGATAGTGGAGCAAAGAGGAAACTAAGGCAAACAAATGAGAGGACGGCACCGAGGAGAAGAGAGGAACAGGAGCGAAGAGGGGAGAAAAGGAGGAGAAATGAGGAAGGGAAATGAGAAGCAAGACAGGAAATTGGAGAGCAATAGGAGAGGACACAAGCTGCGAGAATGAGAAATAGAGGAAAAGTTGGGAAGGGAGGCACAAAGGGGGAGGAACGCTGGGGGAAGGGAAGAGGAGATAAAATAAGATCAAAGTATCAATAAAGAGATTGAGAGAAAGAGAAAGAAATATCAAACCAAGGAAAGTACAAGTGTTGCTGTAGCGCGCACCAGGCACGCTGTTGTATGATAGTATCATCATTATGAATAAAACAGGACGGGTGTTTTGCGCAACCCTGAAACAGTTTGCAACGCTAAGAGCGAAGAGCATCAAAGCATGAAATCAGAGAAGAGGTCGTGATGCAGCTCAGCGCTCCCACGGCTCTCAGGGGGCTCCTCTGGATGTGACAGGACAGAAAACACTGCACTGGGCCTTCCCCTTCCTCCCCTCTTTCCTCTCATTCTCTCACACTATCTGGCAATTACTGAACTCTCCTCCCTCATTACCTTTTTCTCTCTTTTGCCCCCCCCCCACACACACACACTTTGTCGCTTTTGCTCTTTTTTCTGCTGCTCACATATTTCATCTGCTTACATTTATGCTTGCTCTTATATACATTTTCATATTTTATCTTCTTTTCTTTATCTAGTCCCCCAGTGGCTCGTTTAGTTACACCAAAAAGATTAAATGTATTTGTAATATTCTAATCTGTAAATTAGATTTACTCTATGGTCCTATGTGTGTATGATTGTCGCTGTGTCTTAGCCTAAAACAGCAGCTCCTTGGAATTTGTTTTGTGTTTAGAGTGTATCTGTATTTTTGCTGAATATTAACCATTCTTGGAGATGTGTTTTGACATCTCAGTGGAGTGTCATGGGGCAAAACCTTTTGCTTCTTTCTGAGAAGTCTCCTGACACATTGTCATTTTCTGATGGTGCTCAGAGTCTATATGGGTCATCAAGTCCAAATTCAGCTGTATTTCACACTCTTATGGTGAAATGTCTGCATCCATTCAAGGAGTTTTATTTTGAATGTATCTATTTGGTGTTTCAGAATGTGTACACTTCTCCTGTACAAAGAACAAAGACTTTCATCCCCATTCAGTTTCAGATCCTAATTTTTGGTCTTGAAATTAGGCTTAGCTGAAGTCTATTGATTGTATCCTTCTTCTAAGTCAGGCCTGAGAAAAGACCTACAGTTTTAGCCCTACTAAATCAATGACAGGGCAGTACTGGGGGATAGCACTCAGGAGAGGGGTTTCATTAATCAGAATACTCTGGTTGAAGCTCTTGTGGTCCAACCTTCTGGTGTGTTCAGTATTGACTGACTGTACCCTGAGCATCAGTCTAATGAAATATTGAAACATTTCATAAGTAATATATGTTATACTGTTAAGATGTGAGTGGATTACTGAACAGAGTTAGTTTACACTTTTCACAATTATGTTGATTTGTATTAAAATAAATTGAGAAAAACACTATTATACAACCACACCCCAGGACCCAAAACATTTTGTTCTATTATTTATGAAAACATATCAGTCACTGGATAACCTTTAAAACATGTGAGTTGAATTTATTTGCTTAAATTCCAAAGTCAAAGCCTAACCAAATGTCTATGTATTGCTTACATGCATTTCATTTGTAAATGTCCTTACTTGTTTCTGTGTTTCTGCCTAATCGCAGATAGTCTTTTTTTTGTTGATGCATAAAATTAATACTACCATGAACTAACACAACTGCTAACTACAATTAGCATTCATATAAAAAAGTGAAGATTAAACCACAATGTAGACATGTCTCATCAGTGTGTGTGTGTGTGTGTGTGTGTGTGTGTGTGTGTGTGTGTGTGTGTGTGTGTGTGTGTGTGTGTGTGTGTGCCTGTCCCATCAGTGTGACCGTTCCTGTCAATGGTTTTTTCGACCTAAGATTTTGCTGCAGTGTAGTAACTGCTTGGTTTGAGTCCAAAAGCTAGCAAAAATGCTATTGTATCACTCTGACATCACACTGAATTATGTACCATAATTTTCTGACATGACAGGTTAATGCCACACTAACTACCTGTTGCACTCTCTATTGGACAGACCTCATAATGTTAAGGAATGTCTTTGCTATTTTTGAATTATATTAGACTACAGTACACTTCTCTTCTCATTGCTGGTGCAGGCTCTGCTGACATCATGCTCGGAGATACAAGTCACAGAACAGAACATTAATAAATTCATTACGTAATGGACTGTCCTGTGAGGGCTGTAGTCATTAGTCAACAATTTTATAGCTCTTCTTTTAAGGGCATTAAAATAGCAGGAATCCGAGGTTCATTCTTTCTGTTTTGTGCCAGTGTCTTTAGAAACCCCATACCAAAAAACAGCTTATTGTTTGTATGGAAAGTTGAGTGCTGAAACTAAATGAAAAGGCCTCTGGATGTTTGGATGCATTACAATTAAATGGGAGGCCAGTGGGTGTTTGCCTGGGCACCGTATATCTAGCCTCTACTTAATGAAGCAAATTTGAACTGTGGATAGACTGAAGACTTCCGTTAAATTTAGAATTGAATTTATGGTACCTTCAGGCGAGTATCTAGATGGCTGCCAAATGTGACAGATAGCTGGGTTATGACCCCTGAAGCGAGAGAGTCAAACAGATATCTGCTCACAGCAGAGGAGAAGAGACCTGACTTCAGACATTACAGGAAGGAAATGCATCTTGCTATTAAGATTATTGTAATAGGATGAACAAAGTGTCCCTACGGCTGAGTCATATCACTCCATATATGACTGCAGTTTTCAAATTCTCTTCTTTTTGTATGGAATTATGAATACAAATATATTTTCTAAATGAGGTTTATGTTTATGTGTTTGCATATGTCTGGATATGGATGATGACAAAACATTACTGTAATATTATCTGGTTGTAAACTATTCAGTGTTTTAGCCTGGAACAGAAACCTCCAAAAAGACATTCTTAAATGGAGAAAAATCCAGTTGGAGTCGCTTTCTCCAACAGACACTGCATGTCTATGAAGGCTGCTAACCACACAATGCCACATACAATATATAGTAAGGCAGTAATAATAGGCTCCTCTCTCTAGAGCAGAATCATGATGATCAGTGAGAGAAATCAATGCTGTTTTGTTGGAGCATTGATCCCATTTGTGATAAGAGAGATTAAAAGAGAGCAGCGGGCCCTTTTGTAAAGTCACCCCGCATTACTGTTTGCATTTGTCTCCTCATTGATCAGAGCCTGTTTTCAGTCTTTTACACACTGTATTTACTTATCAGCGTTTCAGTGTACTGGGGCCGAGGGTTTTCCAATTTGGTGTCAGGTTCATTGTCATCAGTCAGGGCTCAGTTTTTTAGGATCCAACAAGAGAAGCAGCAATACTACAGCTTTAATTTGAAAATTGTACATGCAGCAGGTCTCATATATAACTTTGGCTAAATGTGTGTGTTTAATTATAGAACATTTTGAGTGATATTAGCACTTGCATCTATTTTAAAACAAGATGATCGCCTGTATGTGTAATATTCCATATTGAGTCAGTCTTTCAACATAATTCACTGATGAACATTCATTCAGCACTAATGGAAGCACAAGCTTAATGTTGCTCCATATTTTAATTTGACACTTCACCATTCGCCAGCGGAGGCAAATTTAGAGGACACAGTTCCTAAAACACTTCTTGGCTGAGTGTTGGGTGGCTTTGGCTACGTAAGGGGAGATATTTTTGATCCCCTAGAAGGGTAAATCAGGTATTATTCCTTAAGTTCACTCAATTTCTTTGATGAATGATGATATGAGAACCCCCCCGGATATCTGTGAAGGTCATCAGATAAAACTGACAGCAGGGAGTGGATATCTTTGTGCCATGTGTGTTTGAGAAAGACATAATTATTTTTTGGCTGAACTGCTTACTTAAAAACAATAGTGCAAGTCTGTAACTGTATTAACACGTTAAAATGGTTGTAATCAATATTTCCATATTAACAGTGGATTACATAAGCACTAGTCTCATTGTTTTTGTTTTCAGGCCTTTAACTTTACTGTTTTCTTTCACTTTCACTGAAAAAGGTCTGAACACCCACTGTACTCTATCTGCTCAACCCTAAACAACAGACAGACAAAGTAAAGCAAATAACTGGTGAACACAGTTCACACAATTAGCGAGAGAGAGATATTACCCTCAGGAGTTAGTGGAGACTATTAACAGAACTATAAGGAAAGTGAATAGTGAATTATCCAGCTGACCAGTAACTGCTGGATGTGTGAATAGGCATCAACATATATCAACATATAAAATATAGTTGATATGTGTCAGTGTTATGTTCACAGCTCATTTCCGCTGCCCCCAAGTGGCCAAGAAATCCACATTGCAGGTTTAAAAAGTGCCCCTAAAGAACATGTATAATTTTCTGAGATAATCTAGTAAATCATATGTGAAAAAAGACTGTGGGAGGTGACTAATTTGTTATCTTACCGATAAAAATCAATGAGAGGATTGGCACAAAAAGCATCTCTGTTTTTTACCTCACAAAATGCTGGCTTATTCCTAGATGCCAAAACACCTCATGCAAGCATATGCACATTCAAAGATGTGAGGTAATATTTTGTATGTTAAGAGAAACAAATTCAGACCCCTTTCTCCCCTTATTTTTCCAGGCAGTGTTGTTTACTTGGGGATGATGGTCGGCGCGTTGTTCTGGGGAGGGATGTCTGACAAAGTGGGCCGCAGACAGTGCCTCCTCATTTGCATGTCCACGAACGGCTTCTTTGCCTTCCTGTCATCTTTTGTCCAGGGATATGGCTTATTCCTCCTTTGCCGCCTCTTCGCAGGCTTTGGGTAAGTCTGATTAAGTGGAAGGAAAACCATCCGTTTAAATGATTTGTGAACACTGTGTAAGATTAAAATCTCATTCTTTCTCAACAGGATGGTCACACTATCTAAGTATATGTCCCATATCAAAGTGTGCACCAGTCATTCAGTGAGAGTAAATAATTATTCTCTGTGAGGGATAATCTATTTGAGGACTGTCTGTGTTGGCATGTCTGTGACGCCCCTAATTATTTCTCCCATTGTTGACTTCCACTGAATCAGTGTTTATTATAAGTAATATAAGTTAATTGTAACTAAAAGCTGTTTTATGTTTCTGAGTCTTTTACCATATCTTATCTGTCAAGTATCCTTTGCAGCTGAATAAATTTAATTTTCTCCTACTGCTGCTGTGCAGCCCAGTAAAAACTATTAACAACCAATGCCTAAGATGTTATAGTCAGTGACATCCTCTCTCCTTAAATACAACTTCAATAAACACTCTCGCAATCTTAGAATTTCTTAAAATAACCAGTGTGTGAAAAATGAAAATACATAAAACATGGTGTGGATGTTGATTTATCATCTTCTTTGGCAGTGTAACTGTTCCTTTAAGAGCTAATTCAGTAATTGCATCTGCATCACTCTCCCCAGAGACCTCCAGAGTAATTGAAAAGGTTGTCCAAACTGCCAATGCAACCTGTGCCTCTCAATCACAAAGAACTGGCACTGAGGATGTTTTTTGTATTATGTTTTGGGAAAGAAGTGCTTAGTTGTGCATATTTTCTGCCTACATGTCTCTTTTGTAATCTTTGCAATGAACCAGAAAACAGCTAAAAAAGATTTTACAGAGGTAAAAGGTTGAATAAAATATTTTAGAAGGAACATTTAATCAAATTACAATTACAATTACATTTGCAATGTCTGAATTGTCCTTCTTCAACTGGAGGAACAAAAATAAGACACAAACAGAGGGATCAAGACAAAACATGCACAACAAAAGCAATCATGAATGCATCTGAAAGATGTAAAACACAAGGATTAATTAAGTTTAATATGTGTCCTGGTTTGGGCCACACTCGCATTAACTTTCCCATTCTCTCTGGTTCTTGCAGGATAGGAGGTGCTGTGCCCATCGTTTTCTCATTCTTTGCAGAGGTGTTGTCCAGGGAAAAAAGAGGAGAACACCTCAGCTGGTTGTGTATGTTCTGGATGATTGGAGAGATCTACGCGTCTGCCATGG